GGCGCTCCCGCCGAGGGTTCAGATCCCACATACAGACCGGTTCCCGCTCACTGGCTGAGCGAGGTCTGGGAGCAACACCGAGGGTTGCGATCCCGTTGCCGGTCCCGGTCCGGTACGGGTGCGACACTGAGGGTTGCGATCCGTTGCCGGAAATGGAAAAAAAAAAAAAAAAAAGTCACTGGGGAAGGTTTTTCAGGGTCCTGACTCCCAATACCCCACTCCAAATCTATGGAATCAGAGCCTCCAGGGAGAGACTGATTGAATGAGAAATTACCTTTCATATGTCAGGTTATTCTGCGGGTGTTTTTTTTTTTTTTTAATAGAGAAATGATTATTCAGCATCCTGAAACATGGGGAAGAGACTATGGAAGATAACCACCCATATTTACTTGGCCCGAAATGGGAAAATGTAGAAGAATGTGACAAGAAACTGCATAGAACACCAAAAGGGCAAGGGGCACTGGAATTTGTTTTCCAGAATGAAATGCTTACTTTGTCCATGTACCTCTAATTTTCTTCCTAAGTTCTCAGCAACTTGGGAAAACCTTCACTCTTTCCTCCCTTCATGCTGGAAAGTGGTGAAGGCAATAAGAAACCAGCTCTGATTGTTTCAGGAGCATCAACACAAGAGTTACACAGAGGAGCAACAAAGTACATATTTAACATTTATTTTACTTTTGCAGAACAAGTCAGAGGCGATTGCTACCATGGCTGCATAATTTAGACAAAAATAATCGGTAGATATCCAAAAGATTAATAACTACACAGCATCAATGTATTACTACAGCAGGATTAACAATGACTCACTCAATTATTTAACAGAACCACTTTCTAGAAAGTGCTAATCTAGTTACCTAAATACTGAAATGGGAGACATACCAAGCACTATAAACATTTTCAATGATGTACTTTTAGTTCTCCACAGTATTGTTTGGTATAAAGCAAATATAATTTGGCTCTGATGTAGATGATTATTGATATACTTTTCAAGTTTTTCAGTGTGGGAAAGTCACCCTGACTGTGGCCCTCTTTGAAGTGGAGCCCACAACATGCCTTGAGCAGGTGTATATCCATCAATAAACAGTCTAATAGGAAATCAGCTGAATGCTACTTTTCACAAGTGAAAGCAAAAAACAGACCAAAAAAGGCTTTCCAAATGAGTTGGCAGTCTGAGCAAGGTTCCAGCAGCCATCAAACTCAGAATCAGAGCCCCCAGGAAAGCTGGAAGAAATACTTCAGAGCCAGCAAAGTTGAAGACTTCTGAGCTCTGAGCCGCAGTATCAGCACACCCTCCAGGATGCACCCCAGGGTCCTTAGCCAGGACAGAGGAAACAGCCAGACTCATCAGGGGAGTTAGGACATCCTTATTTATAAACTAAGAAAACAAGGAGGCCTCAACCAGGGCATGAACATATGTTGGGAAAGAATAAAGCCCTTAGTACAATGTTGGTCAAAGGCAAAAGAGGAAGAGTGGACTTCTATCTGTAGTAACATCCTGTTTACTTTTTCCAACCCAGGGAAACAGTGAAAGTACTTTGGGGCCTTAGAAAGCACTTCCCTTGGATGGATATACGAAGCCTTGCTGTTGGTCTCTTAGCCCCACTGACTCGTCTAAGTGACTGTCTTGAGGAGTATCACAGCAGGAAGCAAAACCCACTGGATTTGTGACAAGTATTTTAAAGGCACACCACAGAGCAGAGCTGTTTGGCTGATACTCTTTACACAGCATGTTTTCTTACTGTTTTGGATTCACCATGTTTATTTTTCTCAAATTAAAAACACATTTTGAAGGCTGGCCCGTGGCTCACTTGGGAGAGTGCGGTGCTGATAGCACCAAGGCCACGGGTTCGGATCCTATATAGGGATGGCCGGTTGGCTCACTTGGGGGAGTGTGGTGCTGACAACACCAAGTCAGGAGTTAAGATCCCCTTACCAGTCATCTTTTTTAAACAAACAAAACACATTTTGGATGGTGCAAAAGTATTCTCAACTCTTCAAGCAGTCAGATTATCTTAATGTTGATACACAGGAAATTATGACCATCAGAATATTTTATTTAAAAAAAGCTTTTTATATCATTCAGTAGTGGAAATTTCCTTGAACGTTAGAGATCTACACATCTCTAAGGACCTATAAGCAGATGACCCAACTCAGGTCTGGCTCAAGTGTTCTGTTTGTTTACAACAACCACGGACACAGGAGGAATTAGCCCAATGTGAGTAAGGACACCCAGTGTCAATGTTTCTGTGAGCACATCTGTGACAGTTCAGTGAGAGCATACTACTCTACAAAAGTACTAAACAAAGTTAATAAAAACATATTGTGTCTGTACAGTCATTAAGCAAGTGGCCACGCCAGGCCTTGCATTTTGACTCTTGGTACAAAGCTGTCCTGGAAATGCCGCGAGAATTGGCGGCTGGGGAGGGGACTGGGAAAGGAATGCTCGCCTGGCAGGGCCCAGGGCTGGCGGCTGCACAGGTTCCTTGGTCTTTCCTGCAGGAATGAGGAAAAGTCTCAAAAGCAGCTTTACAGGAAACTGCCTCATTTGCTAACAGTTTAGGAATACCTTTGATTTGTTTTTGGCCCACAAATTTAGAAAATCAAAACAGGCTGAGAGCTGCTTGTGAGGAGAGAGGGAAGGGGCACATCAGATGGGTGGCTTCGTGATTCCACACGGGATGTGGGACCAGAAATTCCAAACAATACTCGGAAACCAGGCGCCTGTGCCTCTGGTTATACTCAGACAACCGTCTTTGTGAAGGACAACGTGAGAGTTCTGCAACTGGCCGTTGTGGCCCCTCCCTGTGCATGTCCCTCGGTCAGCAGCTGGCTGAGCAGCCATATTCCCGAGGGTGGAGGTGGACAGCGCCACTGCCAGGTAGGGGGATGTGTTCACTCACAGATCGATGCAACATGCCACCACCCCAGCCACCATCAGAGGATTTTCTTTAGTTTTGTTTTTGGGGAAAGCAGAAAACGGAATGGAAACAGAACCAGGGGGGAGTCACAGTGAAGGTGAGCTTGGGGTGCAGGTTGGCATACCTGGCCCGCCTTGGGACGAAGGAGGTCAGCTTCTTTAAAAAGGTGGCTTGTAGGGCCAGCCTGGTGGCACACTCGGTAGAGTGCGGCGCTTGGGAGCGCGGCGGCGCTCCCATCGAGGGTTTGGGTCCCATATAGAGACCAATCCGCTCACTGGGCGTGGTGCGGGCGCGACACCGAGGGTTGCGATCCCATTGCCGGTCGCGGTACGGGCGCGACACTGAGGGTTGCGATCCCGTTACCGGTCACGAAAAAAGACAAAAAGGAAAAAAAAAAGGTGGCTTGTAGGTTCAAAGGCCTCATTTTGACCCATCATCATGGCAAACCTTTTCAAGTAGGGAGAACTTAATGAGATGTAATTATTGCTCTTTGCTTCAGACAGATTTTATCTGCAGGAGAGGATATTTTCATATTTTCTAAGTGGGAAGCCAACTGGAAAACCAGTGAAACGATTGTGGGCACCAAACACCTGAACAGCTGGGAGGAGAGATGGGATGTAGGGAACGACCAGTGCCTGGCAGCTGCACCTCGCAAGCCCTGGGCTCAGGCGGTGAGAAGGTCCCAAAGGCCAGCTGGCAACAGACTGCCCAAATCAGAACCCCCTGAGGCTGCAGGAAGAGGAACAAAGCAAGGGGTCAGCAGCCTTGGCCTTGCACAGTGCCAACCCTGCCTCCTTAGCCCTGCAGGCAAGTGACGCTGATGAGGGGGGACAGGCTCAGCTCACCCAGTGGCCCCAGCCTGTGTGTCACAGTCCCTTGGAGCCGGGCTGTCAGTGCAGAGTGTGGCTTCCCTGATGTTCACGGTGCTCTCCGGAAGGAACTTCTGTACAGGTGTTTCCGTTGTTAAAAAGCACAGCCTTCCTTTCCCAGCGGCCAAACTGCAAACACTGCGGATGCCCTGCAGGCGCTCCCTGGCACCTGCTCACTGGGGAGTTTCTGCAGGTAGCTGGGGGACTGAGGACGGTGTGCTTCCAGGACGCCAGGCCCGGCCTGCAGGAGCCCAGAGCAGCCTAACTCCCACTGCCAAGTCCAGGAAAGGAGTGTCAGTGGCTCCTGCCCCCAGTTAAACATCGAAGAGCTTTGTCCTCAACCTCCTAGGCTGGGAATGATCACATAGGTGAGGGACAGGGCCCCTTGGGGTGGGGGGACTCAGTACAGCACAGGCTTTGAAGGGGGTGAGGGGCTTTGATGGCCTGTGAGGATACCCTCAGCTCTGGACCAGGTTGGGAAGTGCCCAGCATCCATGCACAGCAGGAGACCCTTGTTCCTGTGCCCCTCTGGCCCTCCCCTGTCTGCACCACCCTGTGGTCTCTCAGGTTGCCCCAGCCTCTGTGCTGGGGGCTGGGGGTGCCTCGGACTTCTATTCCAGCACAGCAGCATCGCAGGCAGACCCCGTAGCTGGTCTGCACAGGTGGCCCAGGACCCAGTGGCTGTGTGGCCTTTGATGGCTGGTGTGGGGAAGCTGAGTTCTCTCTGCTGGCACTGAGTAGGGAGCAGCTCACATTGGCACTGGACCCAGCTCTGGCTCTGCAGGTGCCCCTGGTGGTCATCACCCACCAAGGAACTGGGGCCTCACCCAGCTGCAGCCGGGACACCCATGCCCAGTGAGGGGGCCGCAGAGGCAGGTCTTGACTGCCTCCTGCATGCTCCGCACGGAGCGGCGGGAGGCAGTTTTCACATTACGTGGCAATGGGGCTCAGCTGTAGCTGGGCTCAGGTGTCCACCCCAGGAGGCTGACACCTGGAATCCCCAACTTGAATTTCCCCCAGTTTTGACAGAAAAACCTAGAAAGGAGAAGGAAACGCCCTACTGCACATCCTCTCCCCCCAGCTGTGACATGCACCCCAGCTGTGACCCACTGAGTAGCATCTCCCTGGCACCTGGTTTCCAGGGACCCACATCAGCAAGGAGGACAGCAGTAGCCAGTGACCTGGGAGCCCAGGCGCCCGGAGCCTCCCAGGCTCAGTGGTGCTCTCTGGTGTCCTTCGGGCTGGGTGGCTCCACGTCGCCCTCTGGGGTATGGCTGGTGGCTGCAGCCAGGCTCTGCATGGCCTCCCGCTGGTGCTGCTTGGCCTTGTTGTACAGCAAGACACCCACTGTCACCAGGATGGTGCCGACAGCTGACAGGCTGGTGATTTTGTTGCCGAAGACTATGATGCTGAGCCAGATGGACAGGGCATGCTTCACGGTGCTGGCGACACTGCAGCGACAGGACAAGGGACAGGCTCATGTGCAGCCATGGGCCGGTGCCTGGTCGTGTCCACGAACGCATGGCCACTATGCCTGGCTGGGTGGCCAAGGGGACAGTGAGCTCCCCACAGGGACTCGGGAGCTGTAAGGGGCTCGCCTGCTCCCTCGGCTTCTCCTTACTGGGGGCCCTGTTCACCACGAAGCATCTGACTGAAGCGTGGCATGTGCCATAATGACAGCCGCGTTCCAATGACCCGCACCAAATGATCACTAACATCTGCCTTGTTCGCTTCCTTTTGTTATTTTGACTGAAGTATTTTTAAGTAAATTATAGACATCGCGACATTTCACCCCTAAGTACCTCCTCTGGCGCGCTGAAGAATGGAAAAGCTTCCGGCAGACCTGCAATACCCTGATGGCACCCAGGAGAGAGCGACCCCTCGAGGAGGTTGTTAATGAAAAGCAGCCCTGTGTGTGCAAGGTGGGACTTTGTAAAACTAAAGTGGACATGAAGCATGCCACAACGTTAACGGTGGTCGTCCTAGGGGCTGGGATTATTGAAAACTTAAACTTCAGCTTTTTGTACTTTTCTGCCTTTTCCAAATTTTCTATAATGATCATTACTCATTGCTCTCACAACATGAATTTTTTAAAGTTTTTTTTTTAAGTTGGTTTTCTGTTGTCTTTTTTGGAACCATCACTGAAAAACTAAGTTAGAGGAACACTTGGGAATAATTCCTGGTTCCAAACAGAAACAAGCTGGTGTGGACAGAGACAGTGACCAAGCCTGAGGCCACCAGGAGCTGCAGAAAAGTGTGGAACGCGAGGCTATTGCCCACGCTCTGCACATGCTTCCCTTGGGCCCGGGAGGCACGGGGCCCTGCTGTGTGTGCCCTGCTGTGCCACTGCGGGACACGGCCCAGGCTGGTGATCATCTGAGCGTTCACTGCACCGACTCAGACCAGACCGAAGGCAGAGAGAAGGGGAGGGAGAGCCGTGGCCCGCCTGCGCCAGACCACCGAGGCAGCAGTGGTGGCACCTTTCACTCAAGCCTGCTCTCGCCTTCTCATTCGGGGATGATTCCACCTCCTCTGGGACAGTTCAGAAGTCAAAGAAAGAGGCCCACTGACTGACGTGGACCTGTGGACATGGCCCACGTGGCCAGTGTCAGCCACGCGGACTCTGTGCCTGCTGGTGACATATGCTCATTCCTTCTCACCTGCTACCGGAAACTCTCCCGTCTTTAAGCTGCACTCACTAAGTGTGTCCAGTTAAAGCGAGCAGATGCTCACGGGACTGCAGCTCACCTCCAAGTTCCCAGAGCTCCTCTGCCCGACGGGGGAGCCACTGGCTGCATGTGTCCATTCAAAGTTAAACTGACTAACATTCGATAAAATGAAGAACTTGGTTTTTCGTTGTGCTCTACATATTTCCAATGCTCAGTAGCCACATGGGGCTGGTGGCTCCTGTACTGGATGGCACAGAAATGGGGCACTCCATCATCACAGACACTTCTATGGACAGCATTATTCTAAGCAGGAAAATACTCAAACAACCCCAGAAAACTTCTAATGTAACGACTTCTAGGGGAGATTTCCCTGAAATCTATTTCACACATTTCACCATCTGCATTTCAAACAGTGCCAGTACAGAATGGCTTTGTAATTATGGTGTGTAACCACGGTCACCACTGCAGAAAAGAAAGACAAGTATCTTTTATCAAAACGCATAGGTTTCAAGTCCTCTCCTTTGTAAACCACCTGGACACACCATGTCTCTTGGGAAGTCCCTCTGCTCACCTGAACGTCACAGGGGAGATCTTCCCCATGAGGGCATAGGCGGTGACGCTCTGCAGGTGGAACAGGACCCCGTCGGTCAGGAGCAGCAGTAGGACATCCTGGCTGTAGCTGAAGCTCCTCCCGCTCCTCCCAATCACTGGCATATCCTGTGATATGAACAAAGGATGTGATGCTGCTGAGCGTCCTGGGCGCTTTTCTCTTACCTGTGACCCAACAGAAGTCATGATGACATTTGTGCCCAGTGATTGGCAAACAGCTGACATCAAGAGGAGCTCTGAGAATGGCCTTTAGGGCAGCAACCGAGCTGAGTGTGTCAAATCATCAAAACGCACAGACAGATTTCCAACAGGCACATGACAAGACGCTCAACACCACTAAGCACAAGGGTGATGCCAACACTCCCCACCCCACAGGAGGATGCTATTAAAAAACCCTGGAAAGGCCGGCCCGTGGCTCACTTGGGAGAGCGCGGTGCTGACAGCACCAAGTCAAGGGCTGAGATTCCCTTACCAGTCATCTTTTTAAAAACAAAACAAAACAAAAAAACCCTAGAAAGCAGAGAATAACAAGAGTTGGTGACAACGTAAAGAAATGGGGGCCCTCGTGCACCGCGGGTGTGAACGTAACGTGTGCAGCCCCTGGGAAACGGTATGGAGGTTCCTCAAAAAATTAAAAATATAATAACCACATGACCTCGCAATTCCACTGCTGGGTATATAACCAAAAGAGCTGAAAGCAGGGTCTCAAAGAGGTACGTGTGCACCATGTTCACAGCAGCATAATGCCGAAACGTGGAAGCAGCCCCATACCCACCAGCAGCTGAATGGACAAGCAAGATGTGGGGCACCCACAATGGACTGTCATTCAGCCTTCAAAAGGAAGGAAATTCTAATACACACCGCAGTATGAATGTGCCTCAAAGACGTTGTGCTAAGTGGAAAAGCCAGACACAGAAGGACAAAGACTGCGTGATTCCACGCACAGGAGGTCCCTGGAGTAGCCAGTTCACAGCGACAGAAAGTGGAAGGGTGGGTGCAGGACTGGGGAGGGGCTGGTGAGCCAGCGCTTCATGGGACAGTGTCAGCTTTATGAGATGAAAGGAGGTCTGGGGCTGGAGGGTGGTGATGGTCACACAAAGTGCGCGTGTGCTTAACGCCCCTCAACTGTACACTTAAAAATGGTAAATGGGCCGGCCCGGTGGCGCACTGGAGAGTGTGCCGCTTGGGAGTGCGGCGGCGCTCCCGCCGAGGGTTCGGATCCCATGTGGAGACCGGTTCCCACTCACTGGCTGAGTGCAGTGCGGGCGCAACACCGAGGGTTGCGATCCCGTTGCCGGTCCCCGGTACAGGTGCGACACCAAGGGTTGCGATCCCATTACCGGTCAGTAAAAAAGACAAAAAAAAAAAAAAAAAGGTAAATTTTAGGTTATATATATTTCACCACAATAAAAAAATATTTACACATGCACATTCTTCCAATCAACCATTTCAGTTCCAAGAATGTATCCCAGAGAAACACCCTCATCTGCGAAAGACATGGATGGAACAAGTTCCCTGTTTCGTGTACGTAACAGAGAAAAGCAAAACACGATCCAATATCCATCAACGGGAAAGAGACCGACAAGGGTGAAGCCACCGTCCAGCTCATGAGTGTGCCCCCGGCCGGCCAGTGTTGTTTGTGTGGAGACACGTGCACATGCTCTTGCACACGAATGCAGTCACGCTCCAGTGCGTGCAGGTGAGCATTTCATCCCCAGATGACACCTGCAGGGGGCATCTCCGGGAGCGGGGCAGGGAGGGGCTGGAGCCAGACTTTGTTTTGCTTGAGATACTTCTGCCCTGTTCACTGTTCTAAGTGGGCACATGTTATTTTCCTAATGCTAAAATCAACGAGCAAACCTAAAACGCCTCACACAAAAATCTCAGGACACTGCCCCCACTCTGAGTGGCCTCCCATGGGTGTAGGCGACAGCCACAGGACTTTGGTTTCTGCCTCCCTCTCCACAGCAGCCTCTTCCTGCACAGCTCCGCAAGGCTCCCACCCCACTTGGCTAGCCCCACGACTCAGGGAGTTAAACCACTCTGCTCTCGAATGGCTGGTGCAGTGTTCTGTTCCTGGAACCCACCATGAAGAAGATCCAGGCTGGGACCAGCATAGCCATGGCAGCGGCACTGGTGTAGAACTGCAGCTCCGGAGCCCTGTGGGGGTAACAGAGGACGCTCAAGCCTCCCAGGCCTGGGAGGAGGCGGCTCTGACCCAGGGGTCTCAACCCTACAGGACCTGAGCCCACTAGAAATTCCCCTTCTCCCAGGCTGGCAAGAAAGGACCTCCATGGCTACCCAGAAATTAAATGGCAACCAAAACCGAGCTGGCTGTTATGGCAGCTCAGTGGGGCAGCTGAAGAAACAGGTGGTTTCCCCCAAGTTTCGATGAAGTACTTTTGAAGGCCACCTAAGCCGAAACGGGAAACAGGTCAGGTCTGTGGGGCATTCTGAACCTTAAAATGGACGGGAAGAGGGCTGACCCGTGGCTCACTTGGGAGAGTATGGTGCTGGTGACACCAAGGCCATGGGTCTGGATCCCTATATAGGGATGGCCGGTTCGCTCACTTGGGAGAGTGTGATGCTGACAACACCAAGCCAAGGATTAAGATCCCCTTACTGGTCATCTTTTATTTTTTATTTTTTTATTTTTAAAAGATGACCGGTAAGGGGATCTTAACCCTTGACTTGGTGTTGTCAGCACCACGCTCAGCCAGTGAGCGAACCGGCCATCCCTATATGGGATCCGAACCCGGGGCCTTGGTGTTATCAGCACCACACTCTCCCGAGTGAGCCACCAGGCCGGCCCACTGGTCATCTTTAAAAAAAAAAAAAAATGGACGGGAAGTTCTCTTGGAATTGGAGATTTCACTAACTTACGATACTTACGAGAACCTGTATTTGTCCCCGCTGAGGAGCTTTTTTGAAAAAACATTTTGCAAACTGGAATAAAGAAAAGAAGGGGTTATGCATTGGTACTAGTCATGAGCAGGGGACATTAAGAGGACAACATGTTTGATTACCACTGTGATGACAAAGAGGATCACACACTATGGACAGCGCTGAGCACCTGCTGTGAGCCGGGAGCCCTGCCTGGCGATTCCAGGCATCACCCACTGTAAGGTGGGCACCGGGCCTGCCCCCCTTCTACGGCTGGTAAACTGAAGCACTCAGCAGTAGAAAGACTTTCCTGAGTTCACCCATCGCTCCTTGCACTAAGCACTTCATAAAACCCTGCTGTGAATAAAAAGCTCCCATAAATCAACATCAGACATGGCTGGGCACCTGGGGATTCCCAAGGCATGTGCACGACTGCTTACATACACAGAGACACATGGGCCACATCCATGATCAGGACAGATGAGCCACAGGGAACACACACAAATGGCCAATGAGAAACAAACGACACCCAGCTTCACTAGTCACCAAGGATCAGAACCTAAATTAATGAGACACTGCTATCTGGACAATAAATGAAAAGAGGTTTTCTTTTTAAGTGCAAAAACTTAGCCGAGGACAGGGCAGACAGACCCTCTCGCTGGCAGGATTATAAATCAGACTAACTGTGCCAGGGACAGTCTGACAACAGGGATCAAGAGCCTTTTAGAGAAGTTCATGGGCTCGATCCAGCAATCTGCCTTCTAGGAATTTACCCTACAGGAGAGTCAGAAATTTAGATAGAGATTCATGCAAAAAGAAGTCCCTGCATATGTATTTACAAACACACAGAGATGGAGAGTTCAGCAACACAGGAATTGTGTGCATGAAGGAGGAGGTGGTCATGAAAATCAGACTTACGGAGAACACCCAGTGACACGGAGCTCATAAAGTAACACCAAGTTAACAAGGAAGACAAATGAAACTGCATGTTTCTAAGACCGAAAGCTGAGGGGAAAAGAGGGAAGGAAATACACCAGCATGTCAAGAGCGGCGCTAACAGTGGTGTTTGCTTTGCTTAGCCATGTCACTCAGAGCCTCGAGATGAGCCCGTTGTGCTTTAGTGGTGATGCTAATAACGAGCTCTTGGATACTGGTGGAGGTGGTGTTTTTCCTTCCTTTTCTGGAAAACAGGAGAATCCTAGACGTGACCGGTAATTCTAAAAGAGCAGGTGTTGCCAGGACTGAGGTTTGGACTTCAACGACAAGCGGGGTCAAAATGGCCCCTTCTGGACCAATCTGGACAGCAGCTGGAATGGAGCGTCGGTCCCTCTGCCCTACTACATGATGAAGGTGCTGATAACACGGAACTTTCCCTGTGGACCTCGCCACCTGTCTGTCCCCTTCCCCGCATCAGCCTCTCATAAGCCTCTTTGCAGCTGGGACGCCAGGACACCGATGGCTGCTCCGCAGGGAGGGATGTGGCCAGAAGCCGGCAGTCCAGCTCTTGAGGGCTGAACCTTCCCCGCCACCCGAGATGCTGCACCTTGTCCAGCTATGAGGTGGCCTCCAGCATCTACATACTTACGTGTGCTCTGTGCACCTCAGCATTCGTTAGCTAGCCACCCCCTATGATTAGCATTTTATTTTTTAGTGTATTAGTTTTGTTTTGGCAGCTGGCCAGCATGAGTATCTGATCCCTGGACCTTGGCGTTACCACACTGTGCTTTAACCAACTGTGAGCTCCCTGGCCAGCCCCGATTAGCATTTTAAGTGTGAGGACCTTGTAGAAAAAGTTACCTTCCTGGGGTACTTGATTTGCTATTTAGGAAAAGCAGAATCAGATGCACCTGGCTTTGAATTAGAGGAAATAATTCCGAACTAATCTGGATTTAAACATCCATGCATCCAGACGAGGAAGAGTGGGTACTATTTTCCAACCCTCCCCCACCCCCTGCATGTCCCCAGGCCCTTCAGGACTCACCAGTCCATGATGTTGGTGGACAGCGCAGCTGAGAACCCGAGGACGTTGAAGCTGATCTCGGTGGCCGTGCACAGCGCCAGCCCTCCCATGACTGGGATAAGCGAGAGGTTGACCAGCATTCCTGCCGGGACATGACACCCTGCGGCTCTGACCCACCCGCCCAGGCTCCCTGCAGCGCGGCTGTCTCCTCCACTCTCTGAAAGGCATGGCTCTTGCTTCAGCTCAGGAACTGAAACCTACCAGTTTCTGCACACCAGAGGGAAAATGAATGAAAGTCCACATCTGCCACTAAGTCCCGCCACCCACGCCTGAGCCAGGCGCCTGGCGAGGCTGCCCTGGGCCCTCCCTCCTGCATGGCACCCGTGGTTCTGTGGACTCTCATGTCATTGTATGAAAAAGGGAAATTCGCGGGTGAGGAAGGGACAATAGAAAGCCTGGCGGTGGCGGGGAGCTTCTACCTGCGCCCACGTTGAGTTTATTTCTTTTTTTTTTTCTTTTTTTTTGCAGATGGCTGGTCTGGGGATCCGAACCTGCAACTTTGGTGTTTCAAGGCTGGGATCCAACCAACCAAGCTAGTTTATTTCTTTTTATTTCCTTCTGAAATATAATAAAAAACTTTTCCACGAAAATCACATTTACCGCCGACACATGTAGTTTGGAAACAGTGTATGAGGCAGCATTTTACACCTCTCTGATTCTAGATATGGCATTTATTTTGAAATTCAAAGTAAATGAGGATATGGGGCCTTTCATGTTTACCAAAAAGGAACGAAATCATGGTCCTCAGACGGGCTCACGTTGCCCTCTCAAGAAAGTGAACACCTTCCCTGTCACAGGACAGTGCTGCCCAGAGCAATTATTTAAATTCTTCAGGAAGCGATCAGTGAACCCATGACTCCCCATGAGCCATCGCAGCAAACCCAGAGATGCTGCACGGCTGAGAGGACTGAGCTTAAGAAAGGAAACCCCATCTGTCCAAGGAGAGTCTTGCTCGTGAGCGTCCTCTTGGTTTTCCATCATTTGGCCTAATCCTCCAGTCTGTCTGGAAATTTTTGTAGAGAGAACTGGAAGCCATGAATGCGCTTCACCCTCCAGTGAGGACCTGCCTTGCTGCTGCTGTGCGGTTGGGGGCCACGGATGCCTTCCTCAGCGTGGATGTCACCAGGTCCAGAATTGCCGCTGTGAGCATGGTGTTAGTCGAACGGTTCCTTTTGGCAAGGCCCCCACCTGCTCTGCTCCGAGTCTCACTGGCGGCCCGACAGTTAGCAAACACATGGCAGGGGACAGCGCACATGGCTGGATCATTCTATGAGCTCTGAAATCTTGGAACCTCAAGTCCTGGCACCCTGGTCACTCTTCAATGCCTCCCCAACAGATTTTCGTTTTAACTTGTATTATTTTTTATTGTTATATTGTTATTTTTTGTTTTTTACAAATTTTTTTTCCTAATTTTATTTATTTTTGAGGGGTACAGTGTGTCGTTTTAATGCATACATATCTTGCACAAAGACTCACTTCAGGAAGATTTCCTTTCACTAAATTTTATCAAGACTTTCTAATTGTTCTTAGAAAGAGGCTCAGTTTGCATTAAGCTTGTTCACTGTGGTTGGAAGGCAAATCGTGATGTTTTAAAGTTGCTGGAAATATCCCTTCATGAAGGGTTAGGCTGCCAGCCCGATGTGCAAAAGGTCACTTGTCTCGTGCCTGTTGTCATCCCTCAGCTCGTCTCTCTCCCGCTCCCCACGCGGACACCTGCCTCAGTGAGATCTAGCCATTTTTTTAACAGAAGCAAATATGGGCATACACGTGAGCAGCCCTAACACCGTGCTCCAGTCACCTGACAACCAGCCAGCTCTACGCTGCTTTCTAAAAGGCCGTAGGAAAAAACGGTGTGGGTCTGAAATGCAGCCGAATATCACCTGCACGTCATTAACTTATCTGTCCACACATCCGACATGCTGAGCCTCTTGGAGGATGGAAACACCTCATTTGGACAGACACGGAGGCAGGGGATGAGCACGTCAGAGCAGCTGGCCATCAGGGGCTGAATGGGAAGCCCCGAGGACAAGGAGCCACGACTGCCCCACAGGGCACCCGTGGGGGTCACCTGGCCACCTGCTGAGGATGGAACCCCTGCCCATGAACGCAGCCCCGCCTCCTCATCCTTGGATCAGGGATCAGCCCCTGTACTTATGTTGCTTATTATCTGTTTACCCAGTTCCCACCTGTCTGCCCACCCAGCTGCAGGGCCATGATGCATGGCCGTCCTCTGGCCTCCACATGCCAACACGAGAACACCCCTGCACAGAGAGCAGGCCCGAAGAAACACGCAGTCAAGTGACCATGTGAGGTGAGTTTTAGCCACTAAGAAACTTCAGGAGAGAAGCAAAGGCCAGCCTGCCCAGCTGGAGCCGCCCGGGGCCCTGCACATGCAGTGGGCAGTGGGGACCTCTGGTTCAGGGGGGTCCCTCACCTGTGTACTCCCCCAGAATCATCCGAGACATGATCACAGTGAAGATGGGAGCAGAGCTCTTCACCGTCTCAGCAAACGAAACCGCCACGTTTTTTAGGCTGACCAAACCCAAAACCACCGTTGCAAACCTAAAAATAAGGAAAAACTGTCATCAGAATGTACCCGTCGATTTGCAGCTACAGGACAGACTCTCCAAGAGGTCAGCCTCGGCCGAGGGTGCATCTGACCCGTCCTCCTCCCCTGCCCACCCCCTCCTCGCCAGCCTGAGTGCCTGGACCCGCTTCTGTGATGTTTTAGGCCGAGCCCCAGGAAATGGCCACCTGGCATGAAGTGGCTTCCATCACCCCAGCGAGAAGGAGGCACGTTATCCTCAAACCACCATTAGATTAGTTCTCATGGCTGCTCCAGAGAGAATCGGATCAAATACACGCGGCACTAAGATCTCCAAACCCCAGTTCATCTGGTGTCCTATACCCTGGACAAGCCCTGACGAATTTATGAAGTTTGCACTGAAACACACCTCGGAGCACCTGAGCATACCATCCGCTCGCAGAGTTCCCAGTCCTAGTAACGGGAAAGATATTTTCTATACACAGATAATTAGACACTCAACCCAAAATGTGAGATGCTTTACCTCATCAGGCCCACAAATAGCATAGTCATGATGAAATTGGGTGGATAAGAGAGCCGGGCTTTGTGCTGGTATAAACAGCAAGGGACAAATATTTTAATGCATCCAATAAGTGTTGTGGACAGCATTTGCACGGCGCCTGAGGAGGGAGACAGAGAGGCTGGGTTGAGCAGAGTTGCATCCTCCCAGCACAGGCAGGTGTCCTAGGACCCCGGGGCGGGCAGGGCGGGCAGGTGGCGTTACCGAGCATGCCGGGCTCGCCCTCCAGCAGGGACAGGATGTACTTGTTGAGGAAGAGCGTGCAGAAGCTGAAGAAGAACCAGAGCGTCAGGTAGAGCAGAGCCCGTGCACTCCACACGCCCAGGCCCGACTCGATGACGGTGGTCTCGGTGACGGTGATGGTGAGCACCTTCTCGTCGGGGTGACCGAAAAGTGGGCCCCAGGTGAGAAGCGACCTTCCCTCCGGCTTCTCCTCGGGCCCGGGAACGGCCTCTTCCAGCGCTTGGGTTTTGGCTGAAGACGCCATGCTGATGCTGCCACTGAGAACGATGCTCTCTCAGTGACGGACAACATGGGCCACGCTGACCGTCGGGCACGAGGGCACAGGGTGGCGGGCAGGAGGCGGGCAGGCGGCGAGAACGTGGTCGCCGAGAGGGGTCAGCCCAGCAAGGTGGGGGCACCGAGGCCGGACGCTGAGGGAAGGAAACACGACACTTAACGCTCTCAGAAGGATCACCTCCCAACAGAAGGCGACAGTAAGACGCAGACGGGGAACGTGGCCTCACTCTGCAGGCGTCTTAGTCCATGGCCCTGAAAAAGCAGAGGCACGGACGACCCCAGATCCCTTGCTGCCTTCAGTTGAATGTCCCCCAAACTTCATCCCCACTGTGACTGTTAAGAGGGTAGGATATTCTATTATGGTCATTGAAAGGTGGGGCCTTGGAGGTGATCAGATTAGATTGTAGGACCATCCCGTAGTGAATGGATCAAAAATGGTTATTGTGGGCATGGTTTGGATGGCTTGAAAAGGAGAGTGAATGAGGAGGTTAGTCTCTCCGCTCCACCATTTTCTTTTTTTTTTTTTTATTTTCCTTTTTGTCTTTTTCATTGACTGGTAACGGGATCGCAACACTCGGTGTCGCGCCCGCACTGGGGACCGGCAACGGGATCACAACCCCCGGTGTCGCGCCCACACCGGGGACCGGCAACGGGATCACAACCCCCGGTGTTGCGCCCACACCGGGGACCGGCAACGGGATCACAACCCCTGGTGTCGCGCCCGCACCGCGCTCAGCCAGTGAGCGGGAACCGGTCTCCACATAGGATCCGAACCCTCGGTGGGAGCGCCGCCACGCTCCCAAGCGGCGCACTCTCCGGTGTGCCACTGGGCCGGCCCGCTCCACCATTTTCGCAGTGTGATATCCTGCCATCGCTGAAGTCACCACCAAAGAAAATCTTCACCAGCTGTGTCCCCTGGACTTCCTAGTCTCTGAAACTGTAAGCAATAAATTTCACCTTCTTTATAAAATACCCAGTTCTATGTATGTTGTCATAAGCCACAGAAAGGGATCGATACACTTGCCTCACTTGGTCAAACCAGAAATGTTAACCTCTTTCTTCCCCTTCCCCATACATCTAGCCTTTAAGCAAATGCCGCCAGAACTATTTGGAAAATGTAACGAAAATCCGGCCCTGGCTCTTTCCCTCCCCCACGCCCAGGACCCTGTGCCAGCCCGGCCGAGGCCGAATCCTCCCCTGGGCTGGTCTTCCCTTCGCAGCAGGGCAGGGTCCAGAGATCTAAAACCTGCTGGCCCCAGAGACCCCACCAAGCTCCTGCAGTCCCAAGGCGGAGGCACTGCCAGTCCCTCTGCCACACCTGCTCCTCCCGTGACTGGCTTGGCTCAGCCCAGGCCTGGCCTACAGTCCTGCCCCGGGTCCCTGAAACTGTCAAATGTGCTTTGCACCTTCTCAGACACTTCTCCTGGAACCAGCAACAGCTCCTAAGAGAGTTGGAGCTCACTGCTTCCCATGGATCTCAGTCCCACCTTCCTGGCTCTCGCACGCTCTCAACGTTTGCATTTTATATGGTTTGCATTTTATCCAGCATTTCCAGTTGTTCTTGGTGGGAGTAGTGATCTGCCACTGTCAGGAACATTGAGTTTTTCATCCATCCACTGAGTTTTAAACGCAATCATTGGATTTTTTTTTTTTTTTTTTAAGATGACCAGTAAGGGAATCTTGACCCTTGGCTTGGTGTTGTCAGCACCACACTCTCCCAAGTGAGCCAACCGGCCATCCCTATATAGGGATCTGAACCTGCGGCCTTGGTGTTATCAGCACCGCACTCTCCCAAGTGAGCCATGGGCCGGCCCAATCATTGGATTTTTTATTTACAGAAGTTGTATGTGGTTTCATTTCATATCGGCCTGTTTTTCTCATATCTTGTTCTGTCTTTAATTTTAAAATTTTTTTTAGATGTTTTATTTTATGGTCTCTGATAGTTCATCATTCAATGATCTTAGTAATCTAATCCTAACTTTCTCTGTGCATGTGTTAGCTGATTCCTGCTCTTGGGGGATTGTTTCCTGGTGCACTTTATAATCATCTCAGCAGATCTGGAGACGTTAGGTCCTTCGCACACTGGGATGAGGTTGTGCCTTCTAAACAGGGCTGGGGTTTGCCTCTGCAAGAGCTCCGGGAGTACCGCTGACCCAGGACCAATTGCATACTACTTTCCAGCCAAAGCCTGTGGCGTAAGTTCAAGCCAACACCGCTTCATGCTCAGGCCTGTGGTTACGACTCCTCAAACGAGGCTCCCTGCTCCCCTCCTAAGGCAAAAGGCGAGGTCAAAACGGTCTTTGTTTTCTCCCTTGTGCTGGTGGCACTTTGTTCCAGTTCTGCCTTTAAGCAGGGTCTCAGCGAGGCATGCCTGGCCCATCTCATAAGGACCGAGGTCCCACTTCCTCCAGGTGAGACCCGAGACTGCTGGCTGTCCCCACCCTGATGTCGTGGGCTTCATTTTATTTTCCAGGAGCTCAGTTATGCATTTAAAAGGATCTGCATGACACCTCATCCCTCCTGCCCATGTGCCAGGACCATGCCCTCCCTTCGTCTCACTACCCTGGGAGATCAGGACTCCCACCTCAGCAGCAGCCTAATTTTATATATAATTTAAAATTTTTTTTTTTTTTTTTTTTTTTTTTTTTTTTTTTTTTTTTTTTTTTTT